CACGTAGGAGGCGCAGAAGCGTTGTCCCCGGGATCTGAGTTGCTTCGTCTATCTCCTTCCTTGAGCGATTTGGTTAGACGGGATATGATTTGGAAGACTCCCAATTTTTCCATTCCAGTCTGATTTTTTACAAGAACCCTCATCCTAGATCATTTTTGGACAGAATTCTAAAACTGTAGTGAACTTTTTAATAATTTTTCCAACTAGCTCGCTTAATTTTGTTGTTCTCTCTTAACTTACTACCGAAAAGTGAGAGAAACTCTCAATGAAAGCACCAATGTTGGTAGAAAACATCCCGCGTAGAGATACTCGCAGCAATTCAGTATAGTGAAAATAGTTTCCGGTTATAGAAAGATTGAATGGACTATTTATAGGCGTTTACAACAAGTCTGATAATAAAAGGCTACATGAGATTGGCCCAATCTAAGAACTAATACTGACACTAACGGGTCAGACGGCCCAGCTAATAAGCAAATAATCCTGGACCGATTCCTGTTAGCCAGGCTGTGTTCTGAGCTTGGTCGGGCCAAAGCTCGGGTGCAATGGGCCAATAGTCTTGGACCTGGCCCATTATCCCAACAGTTGTTATCTTTAAACCCCGTGTTAGCGAAGTCATTGACCAGCGTATTATTAATCAACTTTATTTTGATGGCAGAATTATCTCTGAAGCTCGTGGCCTTTCTGGGGGGTATTTGGCTTCTTTGGAACTCATCACTACTTACAGTGGAAGAACGGGAAATCACCAATCAAAATGTTCATGTGAGTGTGACAACCCTCGAGGGTAGCCAATTCGCCTTCACAACTGTTTATGCTTGTCAACAACCTTTGGGACACACCTTTCTCTGGGATACCCTCCGGGTGATTGCACGAATGGAAACAGTACCATGGGTAACGATGGGGGATTTTAACATCATCCTTTCAACAGAGAAGAAGATTGGGGTGCAGATTTTGACCTGGCTCGTATGACACCCTTTCGGAACTGCATCTACTTGTGTCACCTCATGGACTTTGGTTTCACTGGACCTGGGTTCACTTCGTATCACGGATCCCTTTGTGATTGGTTGGATCAGGCATTGGGCTCTCATAACTCGCTCACTCACTTCCCGCACTCCTTGGTACAACATCTTCCTCGTGTGCCGTCCGATCATCGCCCTATCTTGTTATCCACTTCTGGTATAACCCCGCCTCACACTAGTAAACGTCCGTTTCGGTTTGTTGCTCCTTAACTGTCGCATGATGATTTTCCCAGGATCCTTGCATCCTCTTGGCGGAGAGACATGCTGCTACATAATGAACTTCATTGTTTGGGTGGGTAGCTTCGGCGATGGAACAAAGATGTGTTCGGTTTTATTCATATCCGGAAAGCGACCTTGATTCAACAATTGTCCGAGTTAGAGGACTTTAATTCAAGTGGTGGGTCGGCCCTCTCCTGCCGTCGTGAAGAAGATACTCGACATGAGCTTGAGACCACACTCTGACAAAAGCCCCTTCTTTGGAAGCAGAAATCCACTTCTATGTGGATTGTGGACGGTGATAATAATACTCATTACTTTCACCTCTTTACTCTCAAGCGCATGCGTAATAACAAAGTTCTTGCTCTGAAAGATGCAACGGGGAATTGGGTGGAAGACAAACAAGCTCTTCTTTGTATGGCCCGTGATTATTTTGTTAATCTTTTCCACGATGCTTGGACGTTGGGTGCCCAGCTTCCCAACGCCTCCTGGTCTTTCCATCTACCGATGAAGTCAAGCAAGTTGTCATGGATATGGGAAGTTTGAAAGCCTGGGGAAAGGATGGTTTCCAACCAATCTTCTTCCAGAAATGTTGGGGTTAGGTTGGTGGGTCAATGGTTATGTTTGTTATTGATTGTTTTAAAAAGCCTTCTCATGTAGCAATGGTCAATGACACCCTTTTGGTTGTGATCCCTAATGTGTCATGATCAAAGTCCAGGCCATGAAGCAATTTCGGCATATTAGCCTTTGTAATGTTTCTTATAAAGTAATTACTAAGCTTCTCACATTCCGTTTGAAGCATCACATGTGGGGTTGGGTCCACCCTACACAATCCAGCTTTGTCCCTGGGTGACAAATTACTGACAACATTATTATCATCCAAGAAGTCATCCACTCCATTGAAAATGGCTGGTGAAGAACTCCACGCATGGCTCTCAAAATTGATCTCACTAAAGCCTATGACTGCATTCGTTGGGATTTCTTAGCTGAAACTCTGTCTTTCACGGGTATTCCGGCAGACATCATCTCTCTTATCATGGCTTGTGTTTCTACAAATCGGTTTCAGGTCCTATGGAATTATGAAATGACTGAGGAATTTCGACCAACTAAAGGTCTTAGGCAAGGGTGCCCGTTATCCCCATTTTTATTCACCCTTCGCAGATGATCTTGTGCTATTCAGCGAGGCGTTAGAGGCGCAGGCTCATGTCATTATACGTTGCATGGATGATTTTTGTTCAACGTCTGGACAATCTATTAGCAAGGAAAAGTTTGTGTTTTTTTTCTCAAAGATTGTCCTCAGGCTTGATGCGGCTCGTATTGCTTCTTCTCTTGGCATGGCGACTACGCAAAATTTGGGTAGATATTTGGGGGTTCCTGTACTCCGTGAAAGGGTGACTAATGATACGTACCAAACCATCTTGGATCGTATGGATCAAAAGCTCACTGGTTGGAATGCTTCGACGCTCGCTCTTGCTGGACGGGTTACTCTTTCCCAATCTGTGTTGTCTACGATTCCTGCTTAAGTTATGCAAACTTTGGTGCTCACCGGTCATATTTGCAGTGATATTTATAAAAGAATCGGGAATTTTGTCTGGGGTACCACCCCGGAAGAGAGGAAAATTCACCTCCTCTCTTGGGATGACATTTGTCGGCCAAAACAACAGGGTGGTTTGGGGCTTCGCTCAGCCAGACAGCTTAATTAGGCGTATATGGTAAAATGGGGGTTTCAATTCCTTATCAAACGTGATGAATTGTGGGTGCAGGTGCTTCAAACTAAGTATAATCGGGAGACGGATATTTCGGCCGCGACATTCCTTTTCTGAATCGGTGATTTGGCGTTGGATCATGGCAGCCCTACCTACTGTGGAGATTGGAATGAGGGATGGAATCCGGGATGGCCTCAACACAGCTTTCTAGACTGCTTGATGGCTGGAGTTGGGCGAGAGACTTATCGATCATATTCTTCCTTCCGCCCCCGTGGCACAATTTTGCACAGCTTTTGGTGAGTGAGATTTTCCCCCTTCTTCGCTCCTTGATACCAGAAAATCTGGTGTTGCATATTGCAGGCATGCCCCCCCCCCCCCCCCCCCCCGCCCTGGCAGTGGAGATGAAACTCTTGTCTGGGATTTTGAAAAGGATGGCCGCTTCAGAATCCAGTCAGCATAAGCTCTACTTGGTCGCCAGGTTAACAGAGAAGAAGGACCAGATTAGAGAGTGGTTTGGCGTTGGCGTGGCCCCAATCGTATTAGACATTTCCTTTGGCTCGTGGCGCGTAACCGGTTAATAACTAATGGGGATAGAAGACGTAGACATATGGCGACAGAGGACATCTGCTCACGCAGTAATCAACACCAGGAAACAGTTCTGCATGTGCTACGGGATTGTCCTTTTGGGATTACCACCTAGGAACGTCTTGCCTATTTTGTTGCTGATCGGACGAACTGGGAGTCTCCACTTCTGCCTTGGATCACACACCACCTGAAGGCACCGAGCAATGGGCTTCTCTTTGGGGTTGCCTGTTGGTCTCTCTGGAAGACCATAAATGAAGCTATATTTACTGATACCCGCACCACCCATGAATCCCTTGCCCCCAACGTATTTGACACGGGGTTTAGTTTATAGAGGAGGCTTTGATACCCGACCAATCCACACATATCGATATACCAACCAAAATGATGGTGGATGTCTCTTGGTCGTCGTCGCCACCACCTGAGTGGATTGCTCTAAATTCTGACGGGTCAGTTATTCCTGAGACTGAACGAGCCACTACATGAGGGTTATTCCGTGATTCCAACAGTCACTGCTTAGCCACGTACTTAATGAACATGGGTTTTTGCTCGATAACCAGAGCTGAATTGAGAGCTGATATAGAAAGGTTACATTTTGCCTGGAAGTTTGGATACCGCAAGGTACGCGTGCAATTGGACTCGCAGGGAGCTATTAAACTTTTGATGGCAGAAGGTGAACACACACACCAACATTCTTCTAAGGTCACACAATTTCGCAAGCTTTTAAATCGAAATTGAATAGCCTAGACTATAGATTACCTATTGATGTTCATTCTATTTCTCATGTTGATTCTAGATTATCATTACACATTCTGTATGACTTACTTGGGATTTCCCAACCTCGTTTGATCATTAATGATAAGTAGAAGCTATGCTCCTATGGTTCTACCAAAAACAAAGAAATATACATACAACTCGGGTATGTGGATGACAGGATGACATCAAATTAGGATCACTAGGTCAAGTAGGGGTGGACCGGTTCCGGTTCGGGCTCGGCCATGCCTCGGTTCATGAAAGGGGAGGCCCGGAACCGGCCCGGGTAACCCCCCGGGTCCGATCCGGGCCGGGTAACCCCCCGGGTCCGATCCGGGCCGGGCCAGGCCTCGGTTCTTATTTTTTTTTTTTTTGGCTTTTCCTAATTAACCCCCAACCCTCCCCCCTCACCCCCAAACCACCTCAAATGGCCCATCATACCCAGCCCAATCCAAAACCTTAAAAAAAATTCAAAAAAAAGAAAAAAAATAATAATTTGGCCCGGACCGGGCAGGTTCACGATTTAGGAGGCCCGGGCCCGGCCCGCCTACCTCACCGGGCCGGGTGGCCCGAACCGGGCACCAACCGGTTCACCGGGGCGGTCCGGGCCCGCACAGTAGCGGGCCGGTCCGGTTCCGGGCCCGCACAGTAGCGGGCCGGTCCGGTTCCGGGCCGGTTGGCCCGGCCCGAGTCCACTCCTAGGGTCAAGCAACATTTACTAGGAAAAAGAAAAGCTCAAATTTTCGTAGATTAACAAAATAAGAGTGTTTTAGATAATTAGTTTTGTCCAATGTAGCATGCAGGTTGACCTCCATACACCAGTGCATATATTTTGTCAAGTAAAACTTCGACTTCAATGATTAGTTAATGGAAGCAAAAAGCAATGATGAATTTGTTCCCCCAAAACCAAACGAGTTCGACAGAGCAGCCTTAACATCTATATGCTTTGACGTTGTCAATGGCATGAAATCACCAGTAAATACTGGATCTGGCCTTCTAAGGTTAAGAGTCAAAGGCACAACCCCCTGCAATAAAATAACGTAATGGTCAAACATTTTAGAACTTTAACTTTGAACCTATCTAATTATTTAATTAGTTAATACAGAAATGTAACAAAAGTATCGTACATGATGTATCGTCAATACAGCAAAAATAGCTTCTACAGCTCCTGCTGCTCCAAGTAGATGCCCAATTGCACCCTAATGTTTTGGCACAAAATATTCACAGCCCAAATAACCGAATATGGAACAGTATGAATAAGCTTCTAGAAACGAATTAAATATTAAAGAAACTAAAACAAAAATAGAATAAAATCCATTGCCGAGGCAAATGACCAAATGCGGAACAGTCTGAATCAGTTTCTATGAAATAAAATACGCAGTAAATTTTAAAGAAGGGAAAACTATCAAATATGTCCTCATACTATAGCGAAAACGTCAATTAAGTCCTACTACCAAATCACTCAATCAACCCCTCACACTATAAAAAAACAATTTAGCTTTTAAGCCGGTTAGATACCGGACCTAGCGGTTATCAAGTTACTCGCTTACGTAGCAGTCATCTGGCATTATAATTTTTCCCTTTTTTAAAGGTCATTTAAAGACTTCCTAAATCTACCATATCTGTTTCTTTCATTACAGGGAAACACGAAGACCGACTAAACAAGAATATATAAGAAGACTAGGGAAACATGAAGACAAAGGAATCAAAGCAGTTGAACTCCGTCCCAAAAAACCCTAGCTGGGGAGGTGTGGGAGGAGTAGGTGGAGGGCCTGCTTTCAGTGGAGGCGGCGCTGGTTTAGGTGGTGGTTTGGGCGGTGGTTTGGGAAGCGGAGGCTTTCCTACACCCGACCTTGGCAGTGGTGGTGGTCCATCTCAATCATTTGGAGCCAGGGGCTGGAAGCCTGGTTCAGATATATCTAGCTTAGGAGGGTTCGGCAGTGGTCCGTCAGGTTATGATACCTGGAGCTGGGTTTGAGTCTACCGTAGGAGGTCTTCCGGGAGGCTCTTCTGGTTTTGTACCTGGCGGAGGCGTAGGGTGGGATGGAGACTAACTTTGGTGGGTTTGTTGTAGGCTCTTCTTCACAGCTTGGGGTATAAGAGCTAGAGAAGATCCATCTGGTACAAGAATTGAATCTGACCTGGGTGGTGGCGCCACCACCTGCAGACGGCAGCACTAGCGATGACACGACTGTAAGGTGCTCCAGCAGAAGTATTCAAAAATGGCATGTAGACTTCACCTATGAATATATATATATATATGAGTAACATTCCTGTCCGAACCGGCCGGACAGGAGGCTCCTCCGGCCACCTCAATTTGAGGTGGTTCCGGGGGGTATTTTTGGCTGAAATTTTTTTATGTGTATTCCTCATCAAGTCTAGTTCATCCATACCAAATTTCATCAAAAAATTCAATCGGGAAGGTCGTCAAATGATTTTTGCATGAAAACTGGTCCGGAATATACATATAAAACACAGTTTTCATGCAAAAATCATTTGACAACCTTCCCGATTGAATCTTTTGCTCAAATTTGGTATGAATGAACTAGACTTGATGAGGAACATACACAAAAAAATTCAGCCAAAAATACCCCCGGAACCACCTCAAATTCAGCTAAAAACTCAATCCGGAAGGTCTTAAAATGATTTTTTGAAGTTAACTGCGCAAAAAAATACATATAAAACGCAGTTAACTTCCAAAAATCATTTGACGACCTTCCGGATTGAGTTTTTAGCTGAATTTTTTTTTGGATAAACTAGACTTGATGAAGAACATGACATAAAAAATTCATCGAAAAAAGCCACCGGGAAGGGCCCCAAACGCCGTTGGCCGGGCGGCGGTTCTGGTCCGGAATTCCGATATATACATACATATATATATATACACACCTCTGTATGTATGAGGGGATGAAGCCGGGCTGGTATGTGGCCGAGAAGGGATGATGTAACATAATCGGCAACCGCAGGTATCTAACCGGCTAAAAAGCGAAACTCGGCTATTTTTAATAGTTTGAGGGTTTGATTGGGTGATCTGATAGTACGAGGACTCAATTAACGTTTTTGCTATAAAACAATGACTTATTTGATGGTTTTCCCTTTAAAGAAACTAAAATAATAGTAAAATAATGAAAAACGTTAATAACTTGATGAACATTTAGAATGGCAAGCCTGACACAACTAGTGGAGTCTCTATCTCTTTGTGTCTTGGAGGTCTACAGTTTCAGCTCAGCCCACCTTCTCTTTGTGTCTTGGAGGTCTACAGTTTCAGCTCAGCCCACCTCCTTGCATAATTAAGGCAAATATGGCCTCACTTACCTTCGGAGTTTCAGCATTTCTTTAAAATTAATAAAAATATGTAGTATTTAAATAAAACGTTGAGTTTGAACAAATATCTAGAATTCATTTATTACATCTGACCTACTTTTGTTTATTCCCCCCTAATGCTCTCCATTGTTTTGCTCCCTATTTTATTTCCATGACACTTTCTCGGTTCCAATCAGGCTCACATATAAGTTTCCACGGTTATAAAGTCTGAATCCCACATACCTTTCCACAGTTCACATGTGAAAGTCTGAAAGTGTCTGTTTATTTAATAATTTAATAAAAGTTACACATAGTAGCAGGAGCAATGATGTCAAGCACCCAACTATGAGCTTTACCTTAGTTGAAGAAAAGGCCGGACAACCTGATGTAGCATAATCAGAGAACACATGTTTAATTGCATTAGCTTCCACAGTATCACCTGAAAAAGAATGATATTTGAACTTAAAGCTTTACATGTTCAATTTTTTCATTAAATAATACTCCCTCCGTCCCGGTCATTTCTTCCAATTTTCCTTTTTGGACCGTCCCAATTAATTCTTCCAACTTCCACTTTTGGAAAAAATATGTGGTTCACATTCATTCACCTTTTTCTTACACAACTACAACCATACATTTTCACTTTATTCCTACTACCTAAATTTGCGATACCGGAAGAAATGACCGGGACGGAGGGAGTAATTTACGATATCTGTTGTTTCTACCCAAAGGTGTGGATGTGGCGTGAGCATTTATGTAGTCCACTTGGTTAGGATGAAGACCAGACTGCAAAGAGAAAAAGAATAAAAGAGTAATTGTTGAAGAGTTTGACACTTTGACCCACATCGTCTTAAACATAAATACATGTAAAACATTGCTTTACTCTTTCTATCACGTTTGTCGAGTAACTCAGTGAGTCAGCCTTGTTGGCGAGTAGAGGAAATCACCGCGTACTCATTGAGTTACTCGGAAAAATGGAACAGTGCGAGTAGATGGGTAATGGATTAGAACGTAAAAAATCTTTTTGCATATTTGCTCAAACTCGTTTTAATTATTTATGACTAGCATATAAAGACTAAGAAATGTACATTTTTTAAGAAATTATTCAGATTACATTCCTTTTTATCTTTCCATTGTAAAAACAAAACAAAAACATAAATGTGTCTTTTTTCTCCTTTCCGTGGTAGCTTCGAGGATCCGAATAAGCCCTTATACTTTCTCATTAAAAAACAGGAAACATTGAAGAATCAAGAATGATATGAAGGCACATAATCATGGGGTTCAGGTTGAGGTTCTGTCGCAGCTACACGCACCATTAAATATAGCCAAAAATGAGAGCACATAAATGTCTTTGCTATGTATAAGGAATGAATCCTAAAGCCTCACTATCTCACCTGCTTTAAAGCACGTGTCATTGCCAAAATAGCACCTCTTCCACCTAAATGTGGTTGAGTAATATGATATGCATCACCTGACAAAGTTGTTAGGTTATGTCAAATTCAAAGCTGAAAATCTATTTGAAAACAGCATACTAGATAGATTAATCATATGCATCAGCATCGATTTCAAACCGAACCTGAGCTTCCATAACCACGAAGCTCAGCATATATCTTAGCACCACGCTTTTTTGCATGCTCCAATTCCTGTGGAAATTAAATGTATTGAGTTCATTAAATAAAACTAATGCATTATCCTGACAAAGAAACAGAGGATTTATCTTTACCAGAAATATAATCAGGACAAAATGCATTTTTGGTCCCGTAAGTAAAAAGGGTGGCAAAACTAGTTCGTTGAAATTTTTTTGGCAATAAAGAAAGACCCATTCTTGTTAGCCAACCCCAAAATCTTTTGGGACTAAAGCTTGGATGTTGTTGTTGTAAAGACCAATTCCTTTCAAAATATCGACAATTTAGTATTGAAGCCACAAAAAATTGCAAACTTGGTGAAGTACTATTCAAATTATAGATTCATTGAGTTGATGGTGACATGACGAATTATTGAAACATTAAAATGCATTTTAAAATACTAATTGTCTATTTTTCATTCGATTTTGTAATTCAAAAAAGAACAATTTTAGCAGTTTTGAACTAAGAAAATTGACCTGTCACCATCAATTCATTGGATCTCTTGTTTGAAAAGTACCTTCTCAATTTTTTGCAAAAAAAAATACTGTAGACATTTTGATTGAAGTAGGTCTAAAATGCTAAAAAATCCAACATGGCTACTTTTACCAACTCCCAATAGGTGCAGGACCAAAAATGCATTTTCCTCTAAAATTTAAGGCACCACTTCAATTGACTAATGCAGGAAATAAAAAATGCAAATGAAAACAAAAACTAACCTCTAATACACAAATACCACAACCCTCACCAATGCTACATCTCAATAACGCAGAAGAAACATTAGAGAATGTGACATAACTCCAAACATAGAAATAGCCTGTCTCAAGTAAGTTAACACTTACACAAATCCATCACGGTCACAATCGAATGGCCTTGAAGCTTCTTGTGGTGCAGTATTATACTTGGTAGTCAATGCTCTCAACCTGCATTAGAAAAAGAGCTTATTCTATGTATACTAAAAAACAAATTAAAAAGAAAACCATCAAGAGAACATATTAAGAAATCTAAAGATGGTATGTGTAGAACATTATAATTGCACCCATCCTTTATTCCTTTTAGGGGTGCTAAACAAGTTACCGAAGTAATTAAGTAAAGCATTATTACCTACAAAACCCTGCAATAGATAAAGCATCGATGCTGGATTCTGTCCCTCCAGCTACCATAACATCCACATCACCAAATTGAATCATCCTAGCAGCATCTCCAATTGAATGTGCTCCGGTTGCGCAAGCTGTCACTGCAGCATGGTTTGGTCCCTAAATTCAAATAGGGTAGAATATACACCACTACACCTTCTATTATTTACATATAGGAATAACCTAATAATATATACTTCACCATACCCCAAAAAGGTACACAGTTTAACTTTTACAGTCTTTAATGTCAGTCTTTATCTATTACTCCCTCCATCCCGCTAACAATGGCACAAGAGGGAGCGGCACGCAAATCAATAAAAAGTGGTTTATGTGGTTGATATTGAATCGATAAAGTAGAATAAAGTAAGAATGATTTAGAGCCACACAACTTTGCCAAATTTGGTATGAGACAATCTTAGTGGGACGGACCGATAAGGTAAAACGGGACAATCATAGCGGGACGGAGGTAGTATCATTTACATTTATATACTGAATAAACATAAAAATTTAACCTATCATTTCAACTGTGTGTGTGTTTGGGTGTGAGTGTTTGCAAACAATTTGTTCAAGAGTACTTTCATGTCATAAATTTAAAAACATTATGAAAAAATTACGGTCAAAAGTCAAATTGTGATCTTGGATTAGTTGTATGGAGACGGGGGAGTATATGATTATATTCCTAACAAAATATGTGTGATAAATTACTTCATTCACCCCATTTTATAAGTCTCACGTTTCTTTTTAGATTTTCACAAGGCCAAACTATATATGTTTTCCAATTTACTCTATTAAAATTTGTATAGTTTGACAAGTTGACCTGCTTGCACAACAGTTTATAAAAAGCTATTCACCTTTTCAGTTGTGACACAAGGGGTATAACATTAGTACTTGTATCGTCGTATATCCTAATTTCTAAATAGTAGATCAATGAGAGTGCTGCTCATATTCTCAAGAGCTTCTGTTCAACAATAATGAACATAACATGCATCTCATGTGAATTACATACCTGAAATCCATACATCATGCTCACATGACCTGAAGCCATGTTGATGAGAATCCGTGGGATGAAATATGGACTGATCCGACGTAAATTCTGTAATTACAATGCAAAAGTGATTTTGTATGACTGTGATGCTTCTGTTTTTTTTTACTCCGGGGGGGTCTGGGGGAGGGGGGCTGGGGGGGGGGGGGGGGGGCTGGAGTAATCAGGGTTGAAACTCACCCCATTGAGTTTCAAACCCTTATGTGATAGGGATCGACCTATGAGACTAATAAATAGAAGAGTTAGTTGTAGTTATATTTCTGTTTGAGCTAATAACTACCTTCCGTTAGTCTGTAATACTATAAATAGAATAAAGATGAGAGAAAGGAGAAGGCTGTTTTAGACTTTGTCTTGGGACTTGAAAGATTGAGATTACTCTCTCTCTTTGGGGGCTTCGGCCATTGTTACTGTTCTTGATTCAATAAAGCTTGCAGTTGTTTTTCTTGATATCTTTCTGTAATTCCTGGATATCTCTATCAGTGGTATCAGAGCACGTTACTTCCTGGAGACGGAGAATCTGAATCATCGGAACAATGGAGGAATTCTATATGACACCGCAAATGGAAGAAAGATTTGACAATCTGAATCGACAGACCAAAGAGATGTCAGTGGTATACAAGGAGATGAACGCTAAGTTGAAAAGTATCTTGCACAACTGTGAGCGTCTAAATCGTAGATTGCAGCGATTGAGCAACAACAAGTATCATTGGCGTTCTGATAAACAGAGTCCATCGCATTCGCTCATCAAGTCGCAGAAGGAGTCGCGAACTGTTTTGCACTCACGAGAGGATTCACGCGGAAAATTAGGGAAGCTCGCAGAAAAGGTTGAGCGCGGAAAAGTGGAGAAAGAGAAGCACGCAACCCTAGAAAAGGAAAAGCGCTCACACCGCGAGAAGGAGAAGCGTGCGAAGAGCAAGGAAACGAGGACAGGGTTGGACGAAGTGCGCACCAAGCTGCGGCAACGTCACCGGCGAGGACGATCGAGGACTGTGCGTCGCTGCAGGAATTCGAAAAGCAAAGGTTCGTTGCAGTCACCAACGTCTTCTGGTCTTCTGGCTTCCACGCGAGCAGAAATCCCTAGTTCGCAAGTTTCTTCAACCGCCGGATCTCACAGCTCACCCTCGCTTGTCGTCTCTCACCCTGCGCCAGATTCATCTGCTTCCAGAAACTTTGACGTAGTCACATTAGAAGAGGGATTCCCAGGGACTCCACCAACAACAATTAATTCAGAATTGGAAACCAAGATGATGTGGTCGATTAAACGTGGCCATCAAATTGATGAATACCTTCAAGTCAAGTTAAACCAAACTGGGAAGTCAATCCATATATCTCGAGGTATTTACCTGAGAAGGATTGATACTTGTAACCCTGCCATTGAGTGGTCAGTGAAGGTTCAACCAAGATTTCATGAAGAAGCCAGTAAATTAGAGGAAGTGATTTCCCTTGATGAAGGATGTTGTGATAAGCTAGAGGAGCAGAAGCTAAAGCTTTGCAAAGAGTATAAGAGTATTGTCCTGTTCCTTACAGCTATGGTCAGAAGAATACCAAGGAAAATGAACGGTTATTCTTTTCTCTTCATAGAAGTTTTTGTTTGGAAAACTCGCAAAGAATGCTGCTACATCAATTTGGATTCTAGGCTTCATGATTTCTCCAACCTGAATAACAACATCAAGGATTGGATTTCTTTTAGACAAAGCGGACTTCCTTCATCGGACAGGCAACGATGGAACCACAGAATTATGGCTGATATACTTGGTAATGAAGGAGCCGAATTTGTAATCTCGTCCACAAAGTGTGGCTGGGTTTCTATGTTGCTTCATAATAGCAAGGATTGGGCCATTTTGAAGATAGTTGGGTTCTTCCACTCTCTGTTTCAAAAAATCAGGTAAAAATGGATTCTCCTTTTGTGGAACATGCAGTGGCAGAGACATTTTGGTGGAGTATTTCTATTGGAGTTGATTGGTGGAATGATGTTGGGTGTACTCAAAGTGCAGCAGTGGATGACAGTGTTTTACTGAAAAGCATTATGACAGTAAAGCATAACTCAAAGGGAGAAGAGTCAAATGGAGTTGAAGCAATTTGTAATTCCAAAATTTCTGATGAGCAGGTTAAAAGGGATGAGAATCCTGATGTTCAGGACATGAATATAAATTCGGCCGCGTTTATAAGGGATATACCTCAGGAAAGCATGAAAATATTGGTGGCTATTGAGGGCCTGAAGACTAAGGAAGAAAAAGATACTTCACCAGAAACATTCTATGCTGCAGAAACATCAGTGAGTTGTAAAGATCTAATACTGAAGCTCTTTGATCAGAAACCAATGAAATATTGGGAAGGTAAAAGCGCCAGAATGAAAAGGAAGCGGAAGATCTTGGCTGTTCCCTATCGCCCACCTTGAGGGCAAGGTGGATGTTTAGGGGGGAAGTATTGATAGGTCGACCTATTAGACTAATAAATAGAAGAGTTAGTTGTAGTTATATTTCTGTTTGAGCTAATAACTACCTTCCGTCAGTCTGTAATACTATAAATAGAATAAAGATGAGAGAAAGGAGCAGGCTGTTTTAGACTTTGTCTTGGGGCTGGGAAGATTGAGATTACTCTCTCTCTTTGGGGGCTTCGGTCATTGTTACTGTTCTTGATTCAATAAAGCTTGCAGTTGTTTTTCTTGATATCTTTCTGTAATTCCTGGATATCTCTATCATTATGTGCCTAGCGGGTTTCGAACTCGAGACCTCCCACTAGGCACTGTAACCTCACAACCAGCTGAGCTGGAATGCTTGGTTTTTAGAAAGAAACAAAAATGGTTCTACGTATGAATAAGTGAAACCAAGTTCATCCAAACCGGACATGCATACGTTTTAAAGAAACTAAACTTTTAATTACGAAAAAAGCTTGGTTTTTCATCAACTAACCTTCTCACAGATCATTTTGGATGCATTCATAATATCGGTGATGCTTCCAATTCCAGCACCTATGGAGACTCCCTGATGCAATTTAGCCTTTACTCCAAATAAACCAAGAAAAAATCATATTCTGAGTGCAAACAAAAGATAAATACATACTGTTCGTTCCTTTTCTTCCAAGGTAGATGGTATCCAATTAGAATCCTTAAGGGCTTCATCCGTAGCACATAGTGCATACCCAATAAACCTTGAGACTGATCTATGCTCCTGCAGAACTGTTCAATGAGTACCATTCTCTAATGCATACTAATGTGACCTGTTCCTGAATTCAAATAAGGGAAATCTATTGTCTAATGCTCTGCTTAGTTGCTAGTTCTGGACTTCGAGGTCATTTTTCTTCTTTTGTTCATCAGCAGAATAAGGCTATATTCAGTAGCCTTATTTAACTTATTCTGCTTTGAAGCAGAATAAGTAGCTGTCTTACTTGGCTTATTCTATTTAGAAGCAGAATAAGTAGCTTTTAATTTACTCAATTGGCTGAAATGAACGTTAATACAAAACGCTTTCCCTTCAAAACAAATCAGAGATTCAGCCATTACCAAACAGACCCTAAGTAGATTTTGACTTGTGTATTTTGCTGAAATGGATGTTACCACTTACGATACACTACTTTCAAAAAATCAGCAACTTGAACCAATTCAACCAAATAACCCCTACTATACAAGCCCTAAGTAGCTCTTGAATTGGTTTTTATGCAGAAATAGCATGACCAAACGGTTTTTCTTTTGAAAATTCAGCAATATCAGCCATGTCATCCAGAATGAAAAAAAAAACTTTCCAAACAGGCCCTATGTCTAATTCAGCATGCTATATAGTACCATTACTCCGCGTATCATATTTACCAGTTAAGATTTTCAGTAATGTGACAATTGTGCAGAGTAGACTATTGAGTAAGTTCTAAATGAAGTGGCATTGAAACATAACTGCAAATTAGCACCTTGGAATTTAGCCACAAATCGTCGTGAAATTCCCCTGGGTTAGTTCCACAAGGCACTGTCCCAGCAACTTTTGATGTCAGGTGATCAAATGCGGACAACTGGATTTCTCTATCGAATCCATTCATCTTCAAATCATCAATAGTTATCACTCTCACACCACACTCGCCTTCTATTAGTCGCTTCCATGTAGTTTTGACTCCACAACCAAGTGGGGTCACCATCCCAATCCCTGCCAACAAAAGGGAGCAAACATTCTTCATGACCATGACATTCCAACTAGAGGCATGGAGCATATTCGGTAACCTACAATTTCAGATGTTTTTTAGAAAGTTGAGCAGTGTTTAAAACTTTAATGATGCTTTGTAACATTGAACTTTTTGTAGAAAGATTTTTTTCTAATGTTGGGAATTTGTAGCTTATCAGAAGCTGATGTTTTTATTTAAGATGTTTTAATATTATTTAACCTTGTAAGATATAGCTTTTGTTGCATCCACATAAACTAGTTACTGGCAAACCACTTTTCAGAAAAGTTTACCGAAAAAAAAAGTGATTCTGATAATAATCCATTGCAGCAGTAATGAATTAACATAATAGACTAATTGTGAAAGTTGAAACTGCAATTTTACAAATAGTGAAATAGATACTCAATTCGTCCGCTAGCTAATTTTATGTTTCCCTTTTACGAAATTGGAACGGAGGGAGTACTGAGTATATTCCAAACACTGCCCCAATCTTTAACAGATTGTTACTATCGAAATCAGAATAGTGGAACAAGAGCATTATAGATAGTAAATACCAGTGACAACAACTCTTCGAGGATTCATAAATGGAGGCGGGTCAAGAGCACCCGAGGAGTAGGACCGACGAAACTGAAGGCGAGAAGGGATGTGTCTGAACCAGTTTCCCCTTGTCATTTGAGGAAGCAGAGCATAGTAATTAGTTTCTACAGTGGTATTCGTTTATAATAAATACTAGTACTACCTCCTTCCGACGGAACAACAAAAAGTGAGTATTATTAAGAAAGGGGGTTGCTTTATGCACCTCAAATTTACTTTATGTAACCATGCATGCGTGTACAATATTGTCCTCTTCAATTTTTTATTTGCATCAAGGTCCCCGCCACGTACAATTTTTCTACTTGTGTCCTAATCGTTTTTTTCTTCAATAATGTTTTTTAATTATTTTCTATTTACCCTTTGTTTTCTCAATTTTTAAAATTTCACTTTCTATCTAAATATTTTTTTGTTATGTAGATTTTAAACATTCCTATTATTATTTACCTCTACTTACATTGCTCTGGATCTTGAAAGGTGAAGATAAAGTTATTAATATATTTCAAAAATTAAAAAATTAAAATGAGTTCTTCTAAACGGCAGTACTTATTTTTACATTTAGATCACATGTACCATAAGCCCATAGCTACTTTATTAGTAAAAAAACATAACAAAAGTATAAAAATGATGATCATAATATTAATTCTCCAGGTTTAGAGGCCGGATAATTTATCATAGTTTTAAATAATACTCCAGGTAGTAGTAAAAAGGTTGGAAATTATCGGTGTGTTACAATTTAATCAATTAGTTTTGCAACCCAAATAATAGTAGTAGCAATATATAAATAATTGATTAATGGTAAGTAAACCCAAAAAAAAATTAATTAACGAACTCAAATGAAGGATATGACGTAGAGTAAAAATGGTACTCCCTCCGTTCCAAAAAATACTTCCTGGTTTGACTTGGCACGCATATTAAGAAAGTGGAATAAAGTGGAAATGTATGGTTGTAGTTGTGTAAGAAAAAAAATGAAACGAATGGAACCACACAAATTGTTCAAAAATGGTAAGTGAGAATAATTTTTTGGGATGACCCAAAAAGGAAAGTGAGCAGAATTTTATGGGAAGGAGGGAGTATATAGTTAGTTTTTACTTATATTATGTATTTGAAAAATCTTGTTAAAATTCTGGTGTTTTACAAATGTTTATAATAGCACTACGTATTTGTTAATTGTTAGTAACTAGGGTTAGTAGTAGGATATATTACGGAGTAATTATATTATTACGGCTACATAAAAATGATACCATGTAACCGAAACAAAGAGTACTTTTTTAGCCTTTGAAAAAAAGAGTATTGTTTTAGAAACAAAAAGTTACGGAGTGATGGAGTATGAAAGAAGTCAAGGAAATAAGTGAAAAAGTTGAAAATTAGGCGACATTCGAGTATTAGACAATGCCAAGAGGAGGCCAACGCAAATATACGGTCGAATAAGAAAAACTGTTTAAAAAAATATAGGAAGATGGTATAATTGTCCATACGTGTTCAAAAATGGGTGCGCTGAGCATTTCCTAGGGTGCGCAGAGACACTCCGTTAAGAAAAGTATATTTGTTGTGTTCGATATTAAATTGATAAAATAATAACAAAATAAAAATGATTTAGGGATACACAAATTTTACCAAATTTAGTATGAGATAATCTTAATGGGATTTTCCGATAAGATAAAATGAGACAATATATAAAATGAGTAACAATTTTGCTATAGGTACCCCACTTTCCACCCCACTTGTACCATATATATATATATATATATATATATATATATATATATAGAGAGAGAGAGAGAGAGAGAGAGAAGATCCCATGAGAAGTCCATCTTAGGTTGAAAAGTGAGAAGTTATTTACACCGTTCGATCTTCTCATCTAGGCTCATCTCCATCGTGCGTTGCCTTGGATCTTCTGTCGTTCATTAATGGCATTTTGGTTATTTTAACCATCTTTACACCTTTTCTCCTCTTCCATCGATCGAGCATCCATACGAGACGAGACGACCAGACCTATGTTCATCCGTCAATCTTCTTCATCTTCCATCTCTTTGATCTCTCATAAAAGATTTCATCATCTTCAATCTCTTCGATTTCCTCATCGAGACGACCAGACGTAGCTTGTTCGCAATTTTCCACTCGTTATTCTATCCGACTTACTACGGCGAAGGTTGTATTGCAGAATCGAGCGAATTTCAACTATCATTTGGTAATTTGTGATTTCTATAATGTTGAATTAATGGTTGTGTTCCGAATTTTTGTATGATCAGTTTGTTTCTGCCACTAGTATGCCTACTAATTGTTGTGGTTCCTTTTACCCTAATCAGTTAATCGCTCAGCTCCAGAAGCTATTTGTGGTGCAAAAGACAAAAAGTGTAATTAGTTCTCCTTCCTTTTAATTTTGAGTTCTCCAGGTTTTCCTCTTCGGTCATCATAATCAATTCAATGACCCTAGCTATAGTAATTGCTCGATGAAAGATGATTCTATTTGAGTATTTGGGTATTTACTTTTTATTAATCATAATTTGAAACTTGATTATTAATGTGATTTACACTCCAAGTTATTGTTTCTCTGCTATTACTATTTCGTTTTGAATATTGTCCATCTTTGTCTCTTTGATGCACCTAGTAGTTATCGACTTCCATTCAATGTACCTTTCTAGTATATGAAATTTGTCATAAGTTATTCTTCTGTCTGCCCATATGAAGTGTTTGACATTATGTCGCAATGAACTTAATTAGTTACTATACATATTTAAGCTTCTTGACTAAACATTTCTTTACGCAAAAAAAATAAGATTCGTCTATGTGAAAGTACCAATTGAGACTGACATTGTTTGTCATTACTCATGTCCTCAAGTTTACATTTATATTAGTGCAGGAGTCCTTGACTACAAAAAAACCAAAACAGAAATATTCAAACTTTTATATAAATAACTTCAACTTTTAATATTATAATTCGAACTTTTAATTAGAAGTATAAATAACTTCTTCTTTTTATGTTACTAGTTATAGTTATTTGACTAGAAGTTAGTTGTGTGTTGACAGAGAACATCAAATCTAAATCACTAATTTAAATTTATTATGTCCTTTGGATTGATTTAGGAAACCCAAACAATTGATTTAAGAACTCAAAAGAAGAGCTTCCAAATTGATTTGTACTAGGGGTGCTTTAGTTTGTTTTCCAATGTTTTGCCATCCAGGGATTGAGATCATTGTGTACTAATGGATTATTGTATCTTCTAGGTGATAATTCTACTTATATGATTTATGGTTTTGACCATGAAGAAAGGGGCAGAGTTCAGTAATTACCAGGTCATTCTCAACTACAACCTTTTGGCTTTACTTTCAACTTTGGCAGCATGTCTTTTATTTCTAATGCAAATGATCAACTATGAGTTCGAAATAAAAGTTATGACTTTTTGAATTAATAGTTATATTATTTTGAGTAAAAGTTTTGCCTTGATAGTGAATCTTAATGTGTAAACAATAATCTTCAGTTTTTAGTTAAGAGGTTATTCAATATTAAAATATTGCACTCATTCTTTTACAAGTTATTGTTAGCTCTTGATTACATTATTGATCATTCTCTTCTTTTTTATTTTTTCGTGATGTTAAATGCTCTTTTTGGTGTCTAGTATAATATATTATCAAGGCTATTAGCTCAAATGGTAGAGCAATGTGCAAATATGCACAAAGATGCAGGTTCAAGTCCTGCATAGCCTGTATATGGTTGCAGTTGCTACTTTTTTCCTTGTTTATTCCTTCCTTTTCTTTTTCTTGGAGCAAGTTGCTTTTTTTGTTTTTTTTTTGTTTTTTTAGAAAACATGTGATTAAACACAACAAGAGCTACGGTGTTCCCAAAGCTCAAGACTCTCAACTTGCTCCACCAAATCTTCATTACATGAATATCTCTTCACTCTCTCACCATTGACTTTAAAAATATTCCCGGATTTTGGATTTTCAAGCTCAATTACACCATCGGGAAAAACATCGCGAATAACAAACAGACCAGTCCACTTAGTCTTTATTTTTCCTGGAAAAAATCTTAAACGAGAGTCAAGCAACAACACTTTAATTCCAGGTTTAAAATCTTTCCTTAGAGTGGACTTATACTGAAAAGGATTAGTGCACTTCTTGGAAACTTTGGCACTCTCATAAGCATGATTCTCAAGATCATGTTCCTGCAACTTGTCCAAAGGAACAATAGGATCAAGAATATCAAGTGCAAAACAAGAACTAGAATCAGCTGGCATGCTCATCGATTTCAAAATGGAAAACTCAACAGTTTCATCAAGCACACTCATAGTCAATTTTCCATTTTGAACATCAATCATTGTTTTTGTCGTAGCCATAAAAGGTCTACCAAGCAAAATTGACATGTCTTTCACATATTTGCACTGATCATCCATATCTAAAACCACAAAATCAGCAGGAATGATCAACTTATCAACTTGAACTAAAACATCCTCTACTATGCCCCTAGGATATCTAATAGAACGGTCAGCAAGCTGTAGGGACATAGTAGTGGATTTTAGCTCATTCAACCCTAATTTCAAGTAAACAGAATAAGGCATCAAATTAATACTTGCCCCCAAATCAAGCATAGCTTTTTCAAATTTAGAATTCCCTAAATTAATGTTGATAATAAAACTGCCAGGGTCTTCTAATTTTGGGGGCAAATCTTTTTGCAAAACATCACTAACAGCCTTAGAAACAAACACTTTTTCATTGGGTTCATATCTACGCTTCCTGGTGCTCAATTCTTTCAAAAAATTAGCATAGGCAGGCATATTAGTGATCATGTCAAGAAGAGGCAAATTCACATTAACTTTAGACAACAACTTATAAATTTCATCAAAAGATTTGTTAAGCTTAGAACTTTTAAACCTGTTTGGGAAAGGAGCGGGTGGAACATACGGCTTAGGCGGCACATATGGATCTTCAGCTTTGTGCAGCCCGATCTCCTCATCTACTGGATCAACTTCAACTTCTTCTTTATTTTCAGCTTCAACCTCTTCTGGTGGCTTAGAAATGGGCTGCCATTCATCTTTCTCAATTATCTTCCCACTTCTAAGAACCGTGACAGCCTTTGCTTCTTCAGTGTGGCTTGGTAGTTTCCCTTGCACATGGCCCTGTAAACATTCAGCAATCTGCCCCACTTGAATCTCTAACTTCCTCAAAGAGGC